CATGTCTGTATAAAATATATAAAATGGGTTTGTATTGCTAACATAGTTATTGACAGGAAACCAGCCTACTGGCAGCAAAGCTGATTCGTCTTGTCATTTTGCTTCAGAAAACGAGGCAGATATAAAGGCATGTCAATTTCTTGCCACTCTACTTGGAGGAGGAGAAGGTGACAAATCTGTGCGGGAAAGGAATGCGGTGGACCAGGAAGCAGCAATAATGCTAAAGACTTTACAGTCACAAGCTGAGGGTCAGTTGAAAGTCATTACTGACTATGAGGTGAGATTTGTGTGTGACTAAATTGGTAGTGTTAAGTTTTGGTAACCGAATGCAATTATGATCATTGTCTAAACTGTAGTGGAAACTATACGATTTTACTGTAGTCGACTAAACATTTCATAATGTGTTCTGTATTATGCACATTTAAATTATTAACTGTTTCTTTTTGTCAATTTTAAGGCAAGAGAGGGCGTTGCCTGTCACTTTCGTAATGTGCTGAAGGCAATTGAAGCTGATAGTCAAGTGGACGTTGTGATGAAAGATGCCTGAAGTCCAACATCATATAACATGGAGTTAATTTAGAGTCATATCTGATGGGTGATTCCCATATGCTTGGAAATTATTACCTCCGCGCAACGGAGGTCATGTAATCGGTCTCGTGTGTGTGTGTGTAGCCACCGGGCGATCGATAGCGCGCCGAGTCAGCGAGTGGCGAGTCAGCAGCAGCCACCAGTGAGCGGCGAATCGATAGCGCGTCGAGTCAGCGAGTGGCGAGTCAGCAGCAGCCACCAGTGAGCGGCGAGTCAGCAGCAGTCGCCACCAGCGATCACATACATGTTGCATGCACGCGGAGGTATGCACTCTCCGTGAGTGCCCTCTGTCTAGTTATAGATGTAATAATGAACGTAATGAAATAATAGACGTAATGATTGAGTGTGATGATTATGTGATAAAAAAATAATGTGAAAGCTTTTTAGAAGTACTAGTCCATGCCCGTTAGGTGGTCAGAACTTATCACACAAGATAAAAAGAAAAAAAAAATTAATTAAATAGCCCATGCAACTTGTCATGATCTGTAGAACGTTCCGACCAAGTTTGGAGAGGATCCGTTGAGCGGTGCGGAAACGTATAGCCGGACACACACACAGACAAAAATTCCGCAATTTATAGTAAGATGTAAAGAATGTAAAGGATGTAAAGACATGTATTTAGAAATTTGCATTGACAACTTTTATGAATGAACAACATGTTAGTTTTTGATGAATTGCTTAACGGTTTTGTGGACATTTCGGAGAGTAAATTATTTAGAGTAATATTCGAAAGTATGATTAACAACAATGTGTTGATTAGTACATCATATACAGTGCCTGTAATCCTTTTGAACCCATTTTCCTATCTTTAAATAAAGAAAAATTTCAGAAATAATACAATAAAATGTCTCGTAGTTGCTGTTTTTCAATATGCTGGTCAGGTACAACTTTAGTAGATCCATTTGTTGTTGCTGTTACATAGTAAGTTGGATTAGTTGAGAAATATTCCAAGAAAGCCGTTTGAGGTTTCATGATAGTGTGAACATTGGAGGCGCCTGCAATCGTCGTGCTCTACCTAGACCCATGATAGTGTGAACATTGGAGGCGTCTGCAATCGTCGTGCTCTACCTAGAGTCCTAGACCCATGACGGTGTTTGTGCAATCGCTACGCACCCTGAAAACGGTGCTTCGTTTCCAGTGGACGGGTTAATTGCTACCACACGGTCTAGTCCAGTTCGGACCAGTAGCAGATAGGGTCGAGCAGCACACAAGCACTCTGCATCTACACGAATGAGTTTGAGTGCATTTGAGAGCAGAGGCAGGGCCAAATATCATGTAGGGCTCGCCTCTGCATTGACGTCTTTTGATAGAGAAAGGTCAGTATTTTTGGTGTTGTGTCACAGTAGAGGGCGTCTATAGGCAGCAGGCCTGAATAAGCACTACACAGAAATTAATTAAAAACACGAGAAAGCGAGTTTCGACACATAGACAACATAAACTTTATCAATGCTAAATAACCTCAGTTTCAAGTTTCAGACTTCGCTCGAAATATTTGACAGCTTAATGATGCGCATTTCCAGCAAATAGTCGGATCCCGTTTCAAACACAATAACGGCAGACCGGTCACCATGGCTACGTCGCTTGACCGAACACAATTACAACAAAAGCAATCTCACTTTTCATGCTTTCTATACATCTATGAAGCCGTGTGTTCATAATGCAAATTAGTGCACTCTAGTGCCACGTATGCGCGATGTGATTTTCGTGGTTCTATCTGATCACATGGATCTAGTAACAGCTACATCCAGCCTGTTGGTCATTTATGTACTCAGATGTCGGTGTGTCATGGGTGTTGATGCGNTGCAATACCATGAAATTATTATAGACTCACAGGCAAAGTAGAATAATGTTGTCGTGAAATAGCACTATTTTCCCGTTTTTCCGTTGTACACTCTAGGTATTATTAGCTCTTGATAATATATATATATACGGACAGACAGACGGTATTAGGTAAATGTGTCACTGTGTCTGTGTGGCTCTAGGGCTTCTGGGACTCCGCTCGAAATATTTGACAGTTTAATGATGCGCATTTCCAGCAAATAGTCGGATCCCGTTTCAAACTCAATAACGGCAGACCGGTGACCATGGCTACATCGCTTGACCGAACACAATTACAACAAAAGCAATCTCACTTTTCATGCTTTCTATACATCCATGAGGCCGTGTGTTCATAATGCAAATTAGTTCACTATACACTAACTCTAGGGCCACGTATGCGCGATGTGATTTTCGTGGTTCTATCTGATCACATGGATCTAGTAACAGCTATATCCAGCCTGTTGGTCATTCATGTACTCAGATTTCGGTGTGTCATGGGTGTTGACGCGCATTATGCGTGCAATGGTAATAGAAATGTGTAGGCAGAGACAGAAATTAACGTCAAGAACATAATATAAAAGCAATAATTTATTTTACTACATTAAACGCATTATTTATCATTATATAGCATCTATTTTACCATTTTTTAGTTAATTAATTTCAACAAGTAAGTAACAATTTTTTATAGATGTGCCTGCAATACAAAGTATAACATTTGTAATCCGTTATAAGTACATTGGCCTAGTATGTTAGTAGATACGGCGCCGTTTGGGTTTGAATACTATCTTCTTACCCCATTATGTCAGGTCACTAAATATGGCATCGAAAACGTTGGCTACGTTTGTAGATGTCGTATCGACCGCCTCCACTACCGAGCAGATGAGTGCGTACTGCGCCTCAAAGAATGCTATCTGGGCGGCTGGTAGTGATGAACACGTATAGATTATGCGCGCGATTGAGGTACCAGCCGCACATGGATCAGGCGTAATGAGGGCGTCGGACACCGCTATAGTACATGTATTCATCCCTAAGCATCCATTCAAGAGAATAGACGCAACGTTCTCGGCGGTGCAACCAGAGAGGTTTACTACAGCGGGAGTATTGCCGCACTCGGTGCTGTCGGTCGTCGGGTTGTAACCGTACGTCGCCGTGATCGTAGAAATCGTCTGTCCCGCCGGACATACGACATCGAGGTCTATGCCTTCGCAGCCTAGAGCGGGGATTCCTGGCCCTGGAACGTATAAGGCGCGGTATATAGTTTGATTGCAGTGCACAGTGATAACCCTGGCATGCGTACGATTTCAATATTATAGTGTTTGATTATCATAGTAATTGACTAAAAGATTTATAGGCGTTTACACCAACTAGAACTATCATTCTCTCTCACTCTTTCCCACTCCCTTCCCCCCTTTCTCTCTTCGACTCTCGCCCTCTCTATCCCTATCTCGCTCGCCCCCTCTCTCTGTGCGTCTATCTTTCTCCTACGAGCGCTCACTCTCCCTTTGCTGCCATCTTCTCTCGCACATGCTCTCTCTCTCTCGGCGCGATTGATTCTCTCTCTCTGCGCGTCTCTCTCTCTCTCTCTCTCTGCATCCTCTCTCTCTCTCTTCTCTTCTCTCTCTACTTCTCTCGCATCGGCTCCGCCTCGGCCTCTGTCTCGCCGCCTCTCTCTCTCTCTCTCTCTCCCTTCTCTCTTCTCTCAGTTCTCGCTCTCTCTCTCTCTCCCCCTTTCTCTGTTATCTCTCTCCTCCGCCCTCTCCTCTCTCTCTCTCTCCTCTTCACGCTTGCTCGCTTGCCGCTCGCGCTCTTTCTCTCCTCCCCTCTTTCTCTTTTCTCCCTTCTGCTCTCTCTCTCTCTCTTTCTCTCTCTTATCTCGCTCTCTCATTCTTTCTCCCTCTCTCTCTCTCTCTCTCTCTCTCTTTCTCTCTCTTATCTCGCTCGCCTTCTTTCGCTCTCTCTCTCCCTCTCTCTCTCTCGCTCTCTCTCTCCTTCTCTCTCATCTCTCCCTCTTCTCCTCTCCCTCTCTCTGCTCTCTCTCTCGCTCGCTTGCTCGGCGCTTTTTTTCTTCGCTCTATCTCTCTCTCTCTCTCTCTCTCGTTCTCTCTGCTCTCTTCTCTCGCTCTCTCTCTCTTCTCTCTCTCCTTCCGTTCTCTCGCCCCCTCTCTCTCTCTCCCCTCTTCTCCACCTCCTTTCTCTCTCTCTCCCTCTCTTTCTCTCTCGCTCTCTTTCTTTCTCTCTCTCTCCCTCTCGCTCTTTCGCTCTCCCCCCTCTTTTTCTCTCTCTCCCTCTCTCTCGCACACGCTCTTTCTCTCTCTCCCTCTCTCTCTCTCTCTCTCCCCTTCTCTCTCTCTCTCTCTCTATCTCACCGAAGAGATCGGCGGTCAACAGCATCGCGATGGCTGCCTTCTCTGCTCGCAGGGCGGCTATGAGAGTTTCCTGGTTGGTCTTGAACGTAGATATTTGGTCATCAAACGTCAGCTTGTGTCGGGCAGCATCGTTCCGCGAGTGGACTGGATAGTGGGGCTCCGGTAAGCCTAATATAATAATATCAATATACCCCGTTAAAACAAACACACTGAATAGGCAATGAATGAATAAAGTAAAAACTAAGCAAAATAGTCTTCGTGTACCAGTCAATGTGAATTAAGATGTAGAAATTCAGCGCAGTATAGGCTTGCACAGGTGCTATATACGCGCAGTAAACCTACACCTCGCTCACTGTGTTCATCAATGTGACAATATATGTCAGTGAAACTCGATCAAAGACAAACAGAACAATTTTTACATGACCCTAGGTTCTCTGCATTTTTTCAGTTGTGCTTACAACGACGGTGGCGCCACTACTAGCCCATNCTGTTCGCAGGGCGGCTATGAGAGTTTCCTGGTTGGTCTTGAACGTAGATATTTGGTCATCAAACGTCAGCTTGTGTCGGGCAGCATCGTTCCGCGAGTGGACTGGATAGTGGGGCCCCGGTGAGCCTAATAATAATATCGATAAACCCCGTTAAAACAAACACACTGAATAGGCAATGAATGAATAAAGTAAAAACTAAGCAAAATAGTCTTCGTGTACCAGTCAATGTGAATTAAGATGTAGAAATTCAGCGCAGTAGGCGCGCACAGATGCTATATACGCGCAGTAAACCTACACCTCGCTCACTGTGTGCATCAATGTGACAATATATGTGAGTGAAACTCGATCAAAGACAAACAGAACTATTTTTACATGACCCTATAGGTTCTCTGCATTTTTTCAGTTGTGCTTTCAACGACGGTGGCGCCACTACTAGCCCATCTACTTTCATAGTAGCTCTAGTAACTATAGCCCGCGTACGGTTGCCGCTGGGGGCTTGCTTGCTGGCCAGCGGAACCGTACGCGGGCTATAGTTACTAGAGCTGCACTTCTCATAGTTGGCGATTGCAATCTTTTTAGCTGCCAGACCTCAGCTGCCAGGACCTACCAGACGAGTGATATTTCTTGTTTACTAATTTACCAATCACTCAATTATTTGTTTATTCTTTGCTATCATGAGTTGTACGAAGGGGGCGCTGCATGCAGTTTGAGTAGCATACGACATGCATCGATGGCGCACGATACTGGCGCGCGCAGATACTCGCCAGATCAACGAGAAAAATTACGTCATCGCCGTAACGAGTCACGTGATTTGTTGACTCCTCCCGGCGTAGTAACAAGCGTTACCCGATATGACGCGGGCCGCCGCCCTAGCTGTCCGCTAGTTATGATAGCGTACGTACGTCCCTTTGGCGTGTTGCGTAGTTGGTCTCGTGACGTATCAGAGAATCCTCCCGCAGCTTGGAGCATAGCATGCTGCTGCAGCACGACTGCAATCGACATCAGAATAACAGGGACCTCGGTGTAGCCTCCCATACAATGCGGTACTTCGGTTTGTTGCTAGCTGTCCGCTCTACAC